TGTGTGTGACGTTCAACACGGGGGCTGCAGGGTAAATGCGTTGGGTCGGACCGCCTTATGACACGCGTTTATTCGGGCCCACGCTGGGCAAAAAACTACTGTCACGTTTGGGTGTGTGTGTACATCGGTGGAAGAGGAGAGAGAGGGAGAGAAAGAAACATTGAGGAATCCATCTTCGTCAGTGCATAAATCTGACACGTTTGAATCGATTAGGACACACTTAAAGTCCTGACATGGAAGTCCGCCCACTTGATCCTCCCCATTTGTGGCAGTCACTCACAGTAGATTTGACCTGCCCTTGCCGAAGCCCTTTACCTGTTTTGGCGTTATGTCATGTCCGAGGCAATAGGAATGATTAGCTTGCTCAGCTTCTGCGTCCAAACTCGCCACCAGTAGCCCTGACAAAAGAGTGAGCTAAGTGCTGTGCATGTTTGGCCCGCTTGAAACTCATGCGAGAGCAAGTCGCCCTTGTCATGCTCAGTCTGTGGAAGGGAGGGGGCGCGGTTGACGTTGTTCGTGACTGTCAACTGAAGCCTGGTTTGCCCGAAAAACGACATAAGTTTAAAAAAACTTACACCTGGAAACAGAGCGAACTGGCGACCACGGGGAGGCAGTGAACTAGACCCTCTATGCGCCACCAGCGCACATGACTCAACGGATTTCCGTAGAAGAGTTTGGGAAGACCACAGGCAAAAACCACCTAGAAGGCAACAAAGAGGGGTATTGGAAGTTTGGTGGAGACATGGTACTTAGGCAGATAGGTTTTCTCTACTGATTACGATGGAGGTGGCTCTTGAATCCGTCGTTGTGCTCATGCATTTAGTCAGGTTTATTTGACGTTCACTATATTTTTTTGCACGCGTCGGCATAGTTGGACACCTGGGCATTTAGCTACACCACATGCGAGACAACCAGCCCACATCCTACAGCACAAAACACGACGATTGTTTGTGGCAACTGAGTCACATTGTGGCCGCGTGTTCGGATCAGATTTTGTCTATGCCGAAGGCCTTCGGAATCCCTCCCCCCCAAAAATAACCACCAATCCTTCTGTTACAAACCAGTCACTCCAGCAACGGACCATCACCTAACATAGAACAGATCACGTCAGCCCGCCAACGAATACAGCGTGAGTGGTTGCATTACGGGATGTAGGGGGCTGGAAATAGGTCCACGAGCTCACTGACGAATTCTCCCGGAGTCTACCGTCGCGCACAGAGACTAGAATCCGTCATCGGAGAATTCACAAGGCACACTGCAACTTCACGCCTTTTTCACAATACAGGCTGCGTAGACACATGCGAATTCCTCGCAGTTCGAACAGCCGGCATACTCGGCAAAATGCAAATACAAGAAGACAGTTGCCAAAGCATTATCTACTATTTATACAGAACCAGCCAGCAACGAAGGACTATATCATCTCCATATGGCAGGGTAAAGTCGTTCCAGCACCCATTTATCTCACAATCGAAAGATAGTGGCAACCACCTTATATGACTAGAACCTGACCCACTGATCCCTCAAGACCTACCTGCCTTAGTTACTGTTGCTTAGATGCTTAAACTTTTGTCCCTCTACCGCTCCCTTCCTTATTGTAATCATCTAATGATGAGTAATCAAAAGTGTACGTTTGCCAAAATTTACTTCTTGAGCAATCCAAAGAGCCGTACGTGCTCTTAGGCAATTTCTATGCGTTAACAGCTTAGGCCTGGAAGGTTACCGACTGGTGGGACAATTCAGCTCTAATGGACTCCTTTTAATGTGGCGTTAAGTGAAGCCCGGGAATCCGGAAGATCAAAAGTCAGAGCAAGCACAGCTGTATTCCCACTATATTCAGGAGAACTGAAAAAAGTTTGAGGGTTAATGAATATCCTAACGATTTTGCCGAAAAGGGTGCAAGCGAGCGGAGT